CGTCTTTCATTATTACCCAATCTGGTGTTCCATGTTGCCATTCAAATCAGCAGGCTACTTCTTCGCTTTTTGATCTTTCAAGACTCAAGCACATATGAAACGTAAAGCTTTTTCAGAAGTCGTTACCTCTATCCCCTCTTAAGGTAGAAAAAGAAGGAAAAACCAATCCTTCTCCTTCTCTCTCCCTCTCTCCTTCACCCTATTCTCACAGTACATAAACCGAACAAAATAATGAGTTCACACCCCTTTATTATAGTTTTTTTCCTTAAATGGCATCTAGTAAGATGAGAGAGAGAGATCATAGTAACAGTTTCCGTTTGAGACTCATGAGCATTTCCATTTACATGTGTAGAAGAGTAAGATGCATGTAACTTGTTACCTGCTGCTGTCTCATCCTTCAGTGTCATCTTCTTTCTCCATGCGTATACGCCTCGGCAATACCCCCCTGGGGTATAATTTAATGTTTAAAATTAATTTTTTATTTATTTTCTCTCACTTTTTTATGCTATTTCATTATGTTCTTTACATTTGCATATATTATTCTTCTACTCAGAAAACATTAGACTTGCAATAGAATAAGATCATGTATCCAATTTCAAATTTGAGGCTCAGCCTTAAGAACTTGAGCATTTGCAGTTTGACTTTTCATTATTTTTCCTTCTTCTATTTAACATATTTTTATAATATATAATACATCCTCATATAGTTATCATTAACTATATATACATATATAGTATTCCATCATTGACTGTTTATGAAAATCTAAATAGCTCATCTTCATTATGAGTTTCAGCTCACTACATTCTTCTGGCACTTAATCGGTCAAGAAAATAATTGCTCGTACAAGGCATTCAAAACAGAAAAAGAGAGAGAGATATAGAGAGAGAAAAGAGAATGATTGAGAGAGGGAGATGGCAAATTATGTTCGTTTGGAAAGTCAAGAGGATTCTTTTATTTTAAGGAAACTGCGAATGAGAGAAAGAGAGAGAGAGAGCACGAGATGGACGTGCTCTTATTGTCTTTGACGATTGCTTTTGATTCATTTGGAACTTTCCTCTTCTAAGGATAGTTTTCCTGATTTTACCCTTCCTTCTTCCTTCTCTCTCTCTCTCCTTCATTTTTTCATTTTCATGCCAGAGATTGTGTGGACTCACACATCGGTTGCTACCTTCATCCTGTCTTTGTGGACTTACAGAACGGTTGCTGAATTTCATTTCTCTCTGTAGTTCCACAGAACGGTTGCTCATTACATCTTTCCATCTATCTTCCCTCATCTCACCCTCTTTCTCTCTCTCACTCCAAGTTTTACTTCAATGTGTGATGGCCTTGAATATTGTACGTGAATGATGGCAGAGTCAAGTGTTCCAATTCTGATGATCATTTGCTCATTAACTCATGCTTAATAGATGCCCTTAAGGCTCGTAAATACAGTGCGCAGATGTGTCAAAGGTCATGATCAAGATGATGCTCATCATAACCATTTCATTTGAAAACTTATGTTTCAAATGGAAGTCCAAGAAGAGAGAAAAAAAAAACAAAAATTAAAAAGTTTTTGTGAAAGTATCTGATTACTTGACCTCTGAGTAATATGATCTTCTATCTCTTAACTATATATTCCTTGTATATACCGCCTTTCTTAAAGCTTCTTCTCACCATTGTTATAAACATGTTTTAAGCTTACAAAAATCTTATTAAGCTTAAAACTTATAAGCTTTATATTAAGTAAATAATATTTCATTACATTAAAGTCTGAAAATATTATATTTCAAATGTTTTTTAATCAAAGTTCTCATGAGCCATTGAACCCCTTCTCCCTTTCCTTCACTTGATGTGTGTGTGTGTGGGTTAGATCTACCGCTTACTCTGTCTCAATGACCAAGAATGAACTTTTTGGGGTTTTTTTCTCTCTTTGTTATGAAGTATACAGCTTGAAGCATTCCAGCTTCTCCTCATACCAGATTGATATTCGTAATTCTTCTTCTTCTTTCTTCTTTTTATTTTATTTTTTGACTGAAATTAAAAAAAAATTAAATTTTCCTACGAAATCACTTGAAGTATTTGTCTTTGCTCTTCTGCTTGTGATGTCTGTGTTGGCTGATTTGTCTTTGATTCTACAAATGATATCCTCTTCATTTCACCAACATCACATTTTTTCTTTTTCTTTCTTACTGTGTTCCATTCATGCACATCTCCAAATGAACTGTGAGTCCTTCTGTACAATATGATTTGTCATGTGTCATGTTGTAGTATGAGGGGAAAGAGAAGCTGAACGAGAGGAAGTAGAGCTGAGAATGAAATCTCCTTTCATTTCATTTTCTATCTTCAACCGTTGCTTTCATACAAATGAAATAGGAAAGTTCAATTTCCTTTTATTGTTTTTTCCTTTTTAATTGTTGTCAACCGAAAAAAAAAGCCTTCAGATGATGGTGTCGTTACATTTCTGATGAAAAGTACGGTTGAGAGAATGAACGATATGTAGATGCGGATGTGCCATAGGCAACAAAGAAAGAGAGAGAGAGAGAGTGAGAGAGAGATAGTAAGCTGAAGTGTATTCGAGAGAGATGGAAAGAAAGAAAGAAGAGGAAAAAGCTGGAAAATGAACTTGAAGCACTCAGTTTTGAGAAGGATGCGAATTGAATTCTTATATCTCCTTTGATTCATAAATGCCTTTTTGTAGTTCTAGAGAGAGAGAAAGAGAGAGAGAATGAAAAAAAAGGAAAAATCAAAGCAAAAAGCATTTTTGAATACAAAAAGAGCTGAACGAAGAGTATAGAAGGAGTATGATGGTGACAGCCTGACAAGCCAATAAAAGTGTGATGTTGATGGATGAAGCTGGTAAATAATGTGTTTAACCTGTGTCATATAGTTATATTTTTATTTTTATAGTCTATGAGATGTTGCCAGAGGCAATTAGATTCAAATGTAATATACTCAATTGTATAATTACATTGAATGAGACAGTAGCACACTTAGTAGATTCATTGATGCTTTTGTACTTCCATTACGTATTCAAGCTATTAGAAGCTTTTAGTCTTTTAATTCAATTTTCATAAACAAACAAAAATCATTTTTTTAAAAAATGAAGTGATTGATTGATATGTAAGAGAGACACATCATGTAATGCACGTTGTGTAATACAAATCCTTATATAGAAGAGAGGCATAGGTTGATGATAGTTTACATCTCGGAGATTTCTCTTCACCCTACACTTCCTTTCCTCCCTCACCTCATAACAATAGATAACTCACAATGTCCATTGTTAAGGATATTGATGGATGAAATGTGATTTTTATTTTTATTTTTTTATTCCCGATAAATAGTTGTGAAGCCTTTAACTATGCTAACTATGTTATCTTGATGTATGTACATATACTATGTATAGTATAGTTAACTATAATTTCATATAATTTTCTTTTGATTATATGTTATTCTTTTCCATTCCTTATAAGGGTTTAAAGAAAATTTTCAAATTAAATTTTGAAAATCTGTGTCTTTCGTGTCTGAGTAAGTGCTTCAAACCTCCATTTCACATATTCAGATACATTCATGTACATGTGTCTACTCTTCATCATCGATAGAACAACCATGAAAATGGATAAGTCAGTGAATGAATGAATGACGTCATCACTTATATAATATCTTAAATGATATAATTAGCATAGATAATATAATATAAGTATTTTAAACGTTTATAAAATCTTTTATATACTATATGACGTCATTAACAGTTGGAAGTCAATCACATCGGTCATGGCAGCTACAGCTTTGACCATTGATGAGAGAATCGCTTTCATTCGAGAAACGACGAATTCTCTTTCTTTTTGAATTCTGACTATTCATTACCGAATCTTCTGTCTTCTATCTTTCAAAATCCTTTTTTAACTTTATTTAAATAAATATTTAAGTTTATTTTAATGAAGAAAGTCGTTTGAGTCGCGTGTGCCTCTAGATCTATGAGAGAGAGGAAGAGGAGGAGGAGGTTGAATGGGAGGTTAGAAGATGAGGAAGAGAGAGGTAGAAGAGGAGAAGCTGACCAACAGTCAACCATTTATTCACATTTTTATATCTTTAATTTAACATTTATACGATTTATTACCAGATAATAAACACTTCATCTATAGGAAATAGACTAGTGTACTACAAGCTGTTAACTCACAGGTGTTACCAGGTTAATGAGGTACTCGAGTCACAACATTTCCATTCTCTTCCTCATACTCACTCTCTCTTTCTCTCTCTCTCTCTTATGCTCTTACATTTCTATTTCATTCCCTTCCTCTTTTTTCCTTTATTCTACTCTTTTTTCGCACAACTTCTCCATTGTTGGCAAGTCCGTCGTCCTTCTGAACTGATCAACTGACCAAAAATGGCCAAAATAAGAAAAGTGGCGTGTTAGCCATGCAGCCATTCGGGCAGCCTCGGCTTAATCTTTCCTCTCCTTTCTTCATTCATTCATTTTCATCTTCTGAGGCGTCTGACCTTAACCTTGTTGCTTTCAAATGTAAATCATATGTTTAAGCACTTATATATAATATTGTAAATAGTTAGTGAAAGGAAGTAGAGTTAATCCATCTTCTTGAAGTGTGAATGGTGGTTGTCTGTGTATGTGTGAGGATGATGAAGATGAGGTGTGTGAAGGTGTGTGTCTGTGTGTGTTAAGGATATGTATGTAATAGATCATTTCATCCATCTTCATTAGAACAGTTCATCAACTTCACATTTAAAATGTAAATGTTAGCAGAGTAAGAAGCTTAAGAGAGATTGAAGCTTAGCTATGATGAAAACCGTGTGTCATCTACTGACTCTCATACATACACACACACACACACACACACCTTGCCGTAACTCATCAATCTGTTTCATATTGGCTCATTACATGCTGTAATAATGTATCTTCTTCTATTTAACTTATTCATTTTCACATAAATAGTTAATTATATGTCTAATTTAATATATTTTATAGGAATTATACATAGATCTATCCATATTTCAATGAAAACAGTATGAAATATCATTTAATCATATTGTTATTGCCTATTGTCTCATCCATCTGTCCTGATACAGCTTCATGTATCAATCGCATACGTGAAATCGTTGCTGGACCAAAAAAATTTTGGTTTGGAGAACAACGAAGAGCATTATGTCATCATCGGAATGCTAATCCAATAGATTGTTTTGGTATGAACTATTCTATATCTCAATAACACTCTCATCTCATCGCTTCTTGTAGGTCCAGCACACTTGGCTTCCTTTCATTCACTTGGAAGTCGACTGTTCCGAGTCAAAACCTATCATTCGGCTTATCTTCGCAATTTGGAGCTGTTTCCTAGAATTTCTTATCGAAATCATCCAGGTTTTCTATTCATTTTACTAGTTTTTATACAAAATATCACAAATTGAAGGTCATTATCGAGCATGTGAGCATAACTTCCACACAAACTCATCTTCTCCCATCGAATCGGATCCTGACATGACTCCTGTCGAACCATTCTCCATTCGTCATAAACCTGAAATAGGTTTGAGCTTGAACTATGAATTGACATTGTAATATCAAAATTGCTATTGAAGGATGGCATGGATTGCAATACGACGATGAGTACATCCTGCTCATGACTGATGTTGGATTTGGAACTTTGAACTATCTTGTTGCTGACTTCCCAAAGAAGCCCAAGGTATGTGTTAGAAGAGAGAGAGAGAGAAAGCAAACACACACACATCGTTTGTACATGACCGAGCATATGTATTCTTCTTTCAGATTTTAAAAGATTATGAGCCATCGGAAAACTTTCGACCATTAGCTAATCCATTGGTTCTTTTAGTATTCAAGAAAGGAAAAGCTGAAATAATATCTGAAGGAGCTGATGAATTCAATTTGGCTCATTTTATGATGAAAAATGGATTAGAAGATAGTTAGTTTTCTTTGTTTTTTCATTTCTAAAATCATCTTATGTCAACAAATGAATGATGGATGAATGAATGAATGGAGGAGAAGCCTTCATTATATTTATCAATCAAGCTTCTACGTTGTCTTGTCTCCTCTTATCTCTTTGTTTCCTCTGATTTCACTCTCATCGAACTTACGTATCTTGATAAAACCCCATCAACCTATTCTAGCCTTAATTCGACCTTTCGTCATATCACCAATGACCTTTTCAAATTCTCTCGCAACTCAATCATCTAACACCATATCAGCTTAGCATATGCCCTTATATGAAATCGTTTGCAGATTTGGTCGGAATGAACATAGTCGTAGTCGGTAGTGATCCGTTCGCCATTGAGAGACAGCGTGTTCGTGGAAATGTCGACAACTGTCACAGTCTACTGATGCCAAGTCAGCTTTCATCATTTTTTCTGCCAGTTGACATAGCTAGTCATACTTACAGGGCTTCATCGCCAGCCACCAACACGTCTTATCTCCAACTTGCCTTTGAATGAGATTTCTCAATGGATTTCCGTTTCATTCGAATCACCGAAGTTAGATGTAAACGTATGCTGTCAGAAGATACGGCAAAAGTAAGAGATAAGGGGAAAACCTTGAGTAATGCAACTGCTTTCAAGAGAATCTACGGTATTCATTGATCCTATCGGAGATGAAGCCATTTCTGCAAGCGCTACCTTGCGTCCACCAACATTCACATCGTTACGTATATCAACAGCATCAGCTAACTATATGAATTACCATCGTCAAGCTAGAACTTATGTTGGTGAGTAAACGATGAGTAAGATACAGCCATTGAGTCATTCACACTTACAGCTCTGATAGATGACTTATACACATTAGTTATAATTGATGGAGATACAGGAAAGCTTCATTGGATGTTAGTTGATATTCCGGCTGCCGAATTAGGAACAGAGCAAATCAAAGGAATTACGGTAAGTGAGGAAATGAGAATCGAAAAAAAAATTTCTTTGATTGCCCTTCTAAACGGAAGACATCAATTTGAATTGAATTGTCTTTTGACCAATCAAACTAAATTTCAGAAGGCCAAATATCATCCGTTAACGCCGACAGATCCAGCTTCATGCCGCATCTACTTGATAGCACTGTTCCAGCAGACGGACAGTTTACAGAAATTAGATAACTATTGTAATGAAGACTGTAGACAACGAAAAGAGTTCAAGTACGATCATTCATTAGAGTCTTTCTTTAAGAATTCATTTTCAGAATAGACACATTCAAGCAGCAGCATGGACTTCGTCTGAATGCCCTGTCCTGGTTGAAATCGTGTTATGATTTACCGTACGCTTTCCATGTTCTCAAGAATGAGCACATAAGCTTGATGGAGAAGAAGAAGGACAGGTAACCTCATTCTTCATTTTTATTCCAATAATATCTGACTTTCAGTAATCGTTCGAAAGGTGCACGAGCAAGTTCTTCTTCATTAGCATTAGCTTCAAGCTCAGCACAAGTCTGTTCAGCCTTCAAAGTATCTCCAAATCATCGATGTATGATAAGCTCATCTAATGATAATAATAATATTATAACAAATATTATATTATTATTTATTACAACACTGTTTCTCTGAATTACCTCATGTGTTTGTTCATTTCCTCTTTCAAGCCTTCTCTCTCTCTCTCTCGCTCTCTCGTTCTCTTTCTCTCTTACTCATGCTCTATCTCTCTTTCAATGTGTATGTGTGTTCCAAATCCAGAAGAACCTCATTTACAAGCTTTATCTCATCTCCATGACTTCTTCAAGCTTCATACCTTAGCCTATACTTCCATCGGAAGTTTCATAATTCCAATTTCAATATTCAAACTAGTCAAATATGTTATTTTCGTTCATTTTGTTTGTTTGTTCTATTCATTAGTTCATTCTCTTACACATTATTACTTTTCGTTGCCCAAATAAGGAAGAACGATGAAGAAGACGAAGAACAGAATGACGAAGATAAAGGGAGACGAAGAAGAAGAAGGAAACTCAGCGGTGCTCTTGGCCTTTCTCGACCAATCTGATGACGTCAGAAAAGAAATAATTTTACGTGTTTTTCTGAAGATTTCTATAAATATATGTATTAAAATAAAATGTTCTCTTTTCATAAAGCTGATATGTTAATTAATCAATAGGCAATGATAAAATGATTTGATGATATGCTTTATGGAAGCAATCTCTCTCCCTCTCTCTCTCTCTATCATTCTTTCCCTCTTCCTCTCACCTTTCATACTCTGTCAAAGACGAAGAAGCATAAAACCAATCAGAGACTATTCAAATTAAAGTTTTAAGCTTCAAATAATCAATATCAATGCAATCATTTGTAATCATTTTTTAGGATTGTGAGAGTAACACTCTATGAACAAGTTAAGAACTGACTCATAGAGAGGGAGATCAACATACATATACAGAGAGAGTGAAGAGGAGGAAGAGGACGACACAGATAACACTTCGTTCTCACGTTACTCACCTACTCAATTGAAAATGGTAATTTTGAAATAGTTAGTGATGAAGGAGAATGTAGTTGAACTTTCTTTTTTGTCTGCAAATCAAGGAAAAAGTTTTAATCCAACCGTTTACATGTGATTGCATAATCAGAATGTGATTATGATGCCATACTCTATAGAATCCCACGTGGCACGTACATATATGCTAATGATGCTAACAGGAAATGAGTTGAAACAAGGAATGAAGGGCAGATGATTCGAATCCAGTTGTTATAGTTAGCATATAGTAATCAGTTTGAACTATTTCATTTAAAATTTTTGAAATTTTTGAGATTCCGGGTCAGATGGATTGTTTGCATTCAATATGGAAATTGCCTTTGCCGTTTTTGTTTCATTCCTCCTTACTTTGTACGGTTTGCAATGAGAGGGAGTGAGAAGGAGAGAGAGAGAGAGATGCTGATGCAGAAATGATTTGTGGAACGTTTGATTCGAATGAGGAGGATGATTAATCCTGTTCTCTCTTTAATGGCGGATGTTATTTTTAGTATTTCATATATGAAAAGACAATTTCTTATAGTCATATAATGACTTCATCATAACTGTTGGGGGGCGTAGCCAGCCAATCAGAGAGCTGAAATTCATGGCTAGTTCTTAGAATGAGTTCTTATCTATTATAAAAGCTTAAAAGAGGTCCTGCTAAACTGATAAAGACTGTCAAATACTTGTGTCATTCCCTCTTGAAACATTTTTTTCCTCTTTTTTGTTTGATTGCTCTTTCATAAGTAGTATTAACAGAGTCATTATTTTCATCTCATTTGCATTTCTTACTTTAAGACAATGGAAGACGAAATCACTGCTCTCGTTATTGACAATGGATCCGGTATGTGCAAAGTGAGTAAAATGAGGTTGTGGATGGAAGCTTTATACATCGCTTAAGGCCGGTTTCGCCGGAGATGACGCTCCACGTGCCGTCTTCCCATCCATCGTTGGACGTCCCCGTCACACCGGAGTTATGGTCGGTATGGGACAAAAGGACTCTTACGTAGGAGATGAAGCTCAATCCAAGAGAGGTTAATCAACATGTGAAATTCTGTTTTACCATAGTTGCTTGAAGGTATCCTTACCCTCAAGTACCCAATTGAGCACGGAATTGTCACCAACTGGGATGATATGGAGAAGATCTGGCACCACACTTTCTACAACGAGCTTCGTGTAGCTCCAGAAGACCACCCAGTCCTTCTCACTGAGGCTCCTCTTAACCCCAAGAACAACCGTGAAAAGATGACTCAAATCATGTTCGAAACCTTCAACACCCCCGCCATGTACGTCAACATCCAAGCCGTACTTTCCCTCTACGCTTCTGGACGTACCACTGGTATCGTCCTTGATACCGGAGATGGTGTCACCCACACTGTCCCAATCTATGAGGTATGTAACATTTTGGACTTTAAACCATTAATGATGTATTATGTGTAGGGTTATGCTCTTCCTCACGCTATCCAACGTTTGGATCTTGCCGGACGTGACTTGACCGATTACATGATGAAGATTCTTACCGAGAGAGGATACGCCTTCACCACCACCGGTACGTGTGTTATTTCACTTATGAAGTCAAATCGTAGTTTCTCCCAATCTGTCTCTCTCATTCAACTATACTATCTCATCACTTGTCTACCCTTTTATAGCTTTAATGCCAGCAAAGCAACAATACAGCATGTCGTTATCAATGATTACTATTTTATTTCAAGTATCATTTCAATTTTCATCTTCTATAGAAATTAGAGATGATACGTACAAGTCCTTATCTATTTCGTTTGCCATTCTAAGAATCTTTTAACTCCAACACTCCAATCTTATCATTTTGTTCGATTTGTTTTAATTTTCTTATCGAACAACTTTACACAAAAGAGGAAGCTCATCATAAAAGTTATCTTTCAATTTGCAGCTGAACGTGAAATCGTTCGTGACATCAAGGAGAAGCTTTGCTATGTTGCCATTGACTTTGAACAAGAACTCGCCACTGCTGCTTCATCTTCTTCTCTTGAGAAGAGCTACGAACTTCCTGATGGACAAGTATATAATACCAATATGAACAAATATTCATTTTTTGCTTCTTTTCAAGGTCATCACCATCGGAAACGAACGATTCCGTTGCCCAGAAGTCCTCTTCCAACCAGCCTTCATCGGTATGGAAGGAGCCGGAATCCACGAGACCACCTACCAATCCATCATGAAGTGCGATGTTGATATCAGAAAGGATCTCTACGCTAACACCGTCCTTTCCGGAGGAACCTCCATGTTCCCAGGAATCGCCGACCGTATGCAGAGAGAAATTCAACACTTGGCTCCAGCGTAAGTATTTCCTACTACAAATGCAAAAAAACGGAGAGAAAGGCAGTATTGATAAGAAAGCATGTTCCTGGAAAGATAAAGCTGATAGTAAGTAGGATAAGACATGAGGTGTCTATGTAGCAGAGTGATCAGTAATGAAAGAGTGAAAAAGGGGTTACAATCAAATGATGAAATATATAATAATTTCTTTTTCAGCACCATGAAGATCAAGATCATTGCTCCACCTGAGCGTAAATACTCTGTATGGATCGGAGGATCTATCCTTGCTTCCCTCTCCACCTTCCAACAGATGTGGATCTCAAAGCAAGATTACGATGAATCTGGCCCAACCATTGTTCATCGCAAATGCTTCTAAATTAATTGAAGAATTTTTAATTATTTTTCAATTGTTTATCATTACCCTCTCTAGACAATGTTTCTTTGATGTACAGAAAAAGCTTTTATATATGATTTACTTAACATTAAATGACTTTTAAATCGTTTTTGTTTGTATTTCATCGCAGACTGGTTGAAAAGGGTAAATCTGTTATATGCACACGTTTCTATTTCTTTGAATTGCCTATCTCATCATCATACTACTATCATCACTACTACTAGTACCTAGTATACTTAGGCGCCGACTTTGAGTCGACTTTTATCGATTTGATCCAAGTCGACTGATCGAGTCAAGTCGAAAAATTGCGACTTTGAAAAGTCGACTTGGAGTCGAGTCAATAATTTTAACAATTCGAAAGTCGACTTCAAGTCGAGTCGGAAAAGTTTTTTTTTTCGATTTGAATGCTCAAGTATAATCCATGGCATACAACCAAGGCATGAACTTCAGGATGTGGAGTGTACCGAGCCTCCTAGTGCACAATCGTACAACCCATGCTGCCATCTCATGATTGTAGTTTCAATGCTCTCACATCTAACAAAGAAATTTATTTATGTAATTTGTTTATTCAATATAACATACAACAAGATTATGAGTTACAAGGCACAGTTGAAGGGGTTTCAGCTTTGAGAATGCAAAGCTGAACATCATTCTCATTAAGGAGAATGAAGCAGAAGCTTAAGTAATAAGCTGTCCTATGAGATCATATAAAAATGGAAATATCATACAAACAAAAACCGAATAGATGTGCCCGCTTGTGTGCTAGAAAGTAAGAAAGAAGAAAAAGAAGAAGAAGCAGCCTATTGAAGAAGGACTGAAAGAGTGAGCATCAAGCTGAATAGCTCAGCTTAGTAGGGAATGTTTCATGAAAGGGATGACCACATGTACAGTGGTACAAGAAATTGGTTGGGAGGGGATTAATTCTTTCAAATATTGAAAGATCTCAATTGGTATCTATATATACAACATTTAAAAAATGTTCCTTAAATACATGCATTTTGATTTCTTGATGGAGAAAGAGAGGACAGGCCTGTTTAGGCATGGCTTCTGCTGACTTTCTTTCCTGCATGGAAGTTTCCACTTCGCTTTCTACGGGCAGCAGCAATTTCTCGTTGAACTTTTGGTTCGAATGAATCACGAATTGATTCGATTAGATGCTTTGAAGCTGGAAGTGGAATGACCTGCAAGAATTGAAAGAATGCTTTGCAAATGCTTATATGGTATAGCTACCTTATCGTTATCGAAGCATTGGTCGTGTTTTTTAAGATCACACTTTCCACATGAACTACGACAGTTCTCAGACATGAAATCGGCAGACTCTCCTTTGCACATTCCTAATTCACTCCATGTTTGACATTGAATGTGACGATCATCGCATTCTGCAACACAATTTAATGTCATTATATTATGTTAAAGAAGTTAACCATTAGTGACGTTGTAACTGGGATTGCAGACGGCGCAACTGGCGGCACAGTATTGAGACATGTATTCTGGAGTCTTGGAACACTCGCCACTCTCTGCCCAAGCAGAACAGCATGGGTTTCTGAAAAAAGTATGTGTTGATTCAATTCCGTTCCGAATTGAGGCAAAAGTAAGATGTTACCTGTTGTAGCAATCTGAGAACAATGGCACTTCCATCTTGACGATTTCTACTGGGTGAACTGTGGTTGTTTCAGTCTCTGGCAGTTCGGCTAATGGACTCTTAGCTGTAGAGTTTTTGCTTGTGACACTTCCGAGCATGCGGAACATTCCTCCAGCTGGAACACAACGACCCCACCAGCATCTTCCTTGGTAACAAGCGTCGAAGTTTTCGAACCCTTGGCATCTTCCATTCATCTTGATCTTGGCTACACAGTGAGGATATCTGAAGTGAATCAAAAACATGAGTCGGAAGTATTTGAAATATTACCCTCTGGTATCACAGAAGAGATATGGTGAACCACAGTTTGGTCTTTGAGCAGAGCATGTTGGGCGTGGGGCATAACGATACATTTGATCAGTGTAAGAGTTGGATAATCCATCACGGTTCTGGAGGTATGGGAAAGGTCTCATTGGAGCATAACTGAAGTGCTGCCAGTTAGCACAATAACCGTTATCAGGAGCATAAGCCTGGAATATGAGAGGTCAGAAAAAGCTGAAGTCTGTTTAAGAACCTGTTCACGAAGCCATCTTGGTTGACGAATTTGACGCCATAATTCCCAGATGTAATCAACAAAGGAGTGGTGCATGAAGAAGATTGGCTAAACGTTATAACATATAGTTTTCAGAGAGAGAAGTGTTGTGTTTACCTCATTAGCTGAGGTGCTGGGTGGTTTCATGTCTCCTCCAATCCAGAGATGAATGTTTGAGTGAGAGTATTCAACAGCTCCATAGTTATTTGGGAATGGACATCCAGGTTGAGGAGCTGTATAAGCCATAGTGTTTTCAATTCTATCCTGGGCAATGATGGTGTTGACTTGATTTTCACTGAAGAGTGATCCTTCACGGCCAAGTTGACGAAGGATTGTTGCACGTCCTTCAAGTGTACGCCAGTAAGCAAAAGGACCCTAAACGTGAATGATTTTTAAAATTATTCTCTCGACTGTTGTGTTTACTTGAATAACATTTCCGTAGAAGTCAGTTTCTCCGGCAAACATGTTCGAGAACATGATGGAATCTCTTGGGTCTGGAAGATAATTGTCCATAACAGAGTCCCAGTATGGAATAGCAACTCCTGGATCAACCATTCTCAATGAGATTTCGACTCTGCAGATGAATATGGTAAGTGATGATATATGTCAAGAAAATGCTACCTCTTGAGGTATTCACGATGCCATGGAAGGAATCCGGGACCGGAGTGAGCACCAGAACCAGTTCCGACTTCGAAATGTTGTCTGCTGAGAGTATCGTACTGTCCATTCTGTTTCAGAGTGTTCAAAGCATTATGCCATCTGGAAATCGAGGAATGTTAATCAACACGATTACGATAACTCTACCTTTGTCTTTCTTGATCGGTCATCATACGGTATTCCTTACGGTAAGCCATATCAAGACGACGTCCATTTCTAAGAATACAGTTGCCATTTCTCATTTGACCCTGTAACAGAGGATTTTATGGAAAATACTGTGAATTCGGTTATACTCTGAAGAAGGGGCAAAGACAAGCAATCGTCATGCAATCGAATGGATGATAGGCAGCTTGTCCACGTGCATTAGGTGGAACAGCAATAGGTCTGAGCCAGTCTGGTGGTCCTCCTGGAGTGTTGACAACCTATATATTCGTCATAAGGAACAGTTCAGAAAAAAAGATGCAAAAACCTCATTACGAGCGACTTGTCTGGCAATTCTACGTCTAGCCATTTGATCCATATGTCTCATCATTAAGCATGTATGTTTCAAATCCTTGTTTGGCGCATCAGAACAATCTCTTGGAGGTTCTTTGAGTAAACGATGTGGAGCTGAGGTTGATTTGTTTTGAGCTACCGCTGCCACACACAGCAACGAGCCAATGGAAAGTGCGAACAGGCGCATTTGTACTGAAAAAATAATAAACATGAGAATGGTATGAAGATGAGTACGAGGTGATCAGAGACGAAGTATGTTGAATGAACAAAGTGAGGAAATGGTGTATGAATGTTCTCAAGTTGGTCGAAGAACAAGTGGTCGAGAAGATGAACCTTCTTTTTTTTATTTTATTTTCATAAAGTTTTAGATAGAAGGACAATAACATGAAGAAGCCACATTTTTATTGCCCCCGGAGGTCAAGCACAGGAGGATGGCATTGTCTACTCGGAACATCTTCTAGTTTTTATTCATTTTCATTTTCATATCAAACTTTTTCTTGATTCTTCCTTTCTTCTTATTTATCTGTTCTTTTGATGTTCTTCTTCTATTTTTGGGAGAAAGACACAAAAAGTGAAATGAGAGGAAGAGAGGAGAGTGACAGAGAATGGCTGCAGGGAGTGTCTTCACTGCATTTGATGTAACTCCTTCTCACTCTCTCTCTCTTAAACTGCGTAGAGAAATAAAGAGAAAGAAAAAGAGAGATGCTAAGATGACAAAAGAGAAAGAGAGAAAAACAGTAAGAGAGAATGGAAATATACAATGCTGAAATGAAGAGATAAACGAACTGTATGAGAGATAGAGAGATGGAGAGAGAGAGAAGCTTTCATATCTGTCTCTCCTTTGATGATATTTTGATTTTGAAGAGAATAAGAATGACATTACATTCGTCACATTATCTATTCTCGAGAATATCTAATGAGTTTCAAATGAAATTCCTTTAACAGTTAGCTTTAAACAAGCTGTTTCATCGCTTTTCAAACCAGTTTTCAGAAATTTTTGGGTCGTTTTAAAAAAAAAAGAAAATACAAGTGAGAGGACAAATATGGGAGGTTATGAGAAGGAGAATCCAAAGTCATTTGAGGAATGTCAAGCAACTCTCAAATAATAAAGTTCACAAAAAATGGTCTCACAAGGAATTTTAAGCAAAAAGTTTCATTTCTGTCATGTCTTCCTTGTCATTCCTCGTGTTCCAATAAACTGTTCGAATACCGTTTGTTTTACGCAAACTCGTAAGCAACAGCATGTTTTTGACCATATATGGCAACATCTATGAAGATGAGACAGTTCATTTGACACTCTCTGTCTCTCTCTTTCACTTTCACTATCTGTCTCACTCTCTCAATCGCTTTTCTCACCTTCAGACGCTCATCGTGAAGAGATTAGCAGACCAAAAAATGGGGAAAAGAAGTTCAAAAGTCGTAGCAGAAAAAAGAAGAAATGAATAAAAAAACTGGCTGTCTCACATAATTCATTTGGCACCTCTAACTATACGGATAGTTAAAGTTCAAACGTTGCCATATAGTATCATTTCAATATCTATGATGCCATAACCGTTTAGATAGAATGAAAACGAAAACGCCAAGAAAATGTGTTTTTGAATGAAAAAACGAAAAACACAAAATTAGAACAAAAGGTAGGAGAAGCGGTGTGAATGGTCGCGCTTTCCAACCATTCAAGGAATCTCCATGTGGAAAAAATGTGGTTGGAAAAACAGAATAACGAATATGAAGAAGACGAAGAAGAAGACTGTGTAGAGACTCTCGAAGCATCATCAATATCTGGCATCAATAGAACAGTGAAATATCAGGCATCAACAGAACAGTGAAGAAAAAACGACCGCTCAACTGAGTAAGCTGAATGGAAAAATGAAGCTTGCTTGATGAAGAAGCTTGAATATAGATACTGTTAGATGCTTGTATTCTAAAGTTTACAAAACTACTTGAGGTTCTGTATAGTAACTTTAGAAGACTGTCTTCATCAGCTTCATCATATTGTGGTCTGTCGTTATTCATTATATACTCGTGTGTTGAAGGTAGCACAAAGGGGCGGTATCTCATGTGTTTCTCTTCTTGGCATCGTCTTGCGCTTCTCGAGACTGTTAACTCCGCCCCTTGAACTGCCTGAGGGCATTTGGCCTCCAGCCGGCTTTTGCGTCTTTTTTTTCTCTCCGCTTTCATCGTTAGCGTTGTCTTTTGAGAGACATCTTTTTTTTTGTCTTTGCTAATATCATTTGGCATTCACCTTCACCTATGTCATAGTTATCGCTAATTTTTCTTCAATGGTAGATGTTGTAAAGCTGGACGGTCATCGGTGGCTTCTTTATTTGTCACGTCGTTAGCGTTTGTCATTGCCAGATCTTTATCAGAAGCTTGTGGACGTGATGTCGGAGACGAAGATGAAGAAGAAGAAGAAGAGTTCAGTTGAGAACACTCAATCAAACCGTTCGCCGAATTCTTTACCATGCTGATGCCAACTACAACAATCAGAAGAGTAAATGTGCCCGTTGATGTCCATGCCATCATCATAACGTATTTTTCGAGAAAAAAAATGAATTTCACGTGAATGCACGTCAAAACGATTATTTTGAATTGAAGACGTCATGGAACAGGTTGTTATCCTCTTGACTCCCCGGGAATTTTGTTTAAAAAAATTATTCAAAAATAAATAAAATTTGTAGAATTGCATTAACCAAGACCAATTTACCAAGAAGGGAAGAAGAGTATCAATTGTCATTCAAGAAGTTTGTAGACGATGAATCAGATGACAAAGGCATACACTGTAAAGGAAGTAAATCTCCAATAGCTCGTTCCACGATTGTATGATAAGATAAAAAAAAAGTTATTTGAATGTTTCTTCTGAAGACATCACATTGTAACTCATATTCATAACATCAACCCAACACTTCGTTTGCCAGGTAAGAACGGTTCGTAGAGGTTGCAGTCTCGCGCGTAGCTGTGACTCAAAGCATAGTTTGACTAACGCACTTTGGTATATCATAAAGATTGTTTTCTACGAGAAATAAAACATTTGTTTCTTTGTTTTCCAATACGTAATTTCATTTTATTCGATCAAATTTCGAAATCTGCCGGCCGGCATTCCTTCGAAATCGGCGATCATCATGATGTGTCGAGAGAACTGTACGTGAGATAGGGGGGGGGGGGAAGAGACTTGATGACTTGTTCTCAGCCATCCTCAAAGAGAATTATTAATAAAAATGAAATTATAATTACAATATAATTCATACTTGACCTTCATCTCTCAGGTTTATGATAACCGGAGGTCTATGCACGCTCATGCACGACACCCATTGAGCATCAACATCCGGTCGTATGCAGATAAGAACACATCTTCAAGTTTGCATTTTCACCGAAAAATTCATTTTTTTGTAAATCAATTGTTCTCGAGAGAAGGTTACTATATATTACATCCAAAAATCAAAAGATTTACCGGTCTATAATTGGTAGAAGAAAAATGTGAAAACAAGCCGTTGACAGCTTCATTAAAAGCTCTCTCTCTCTACTCTCTACTCTCTCTCTCTCTCTCTCTCTCTTTCAACTACTTGGCCTCTTTTCGTTTTGTTCCATCTCTCTCTCACTTTCTCTCTCTCTTGTTCTTCAATTTTCTCGCTCTACCTTTCATTTCATCTCTTCTTTTTCTATGTTTCTTCGCATATTCACCACAAGGTCATTGCCCCGAGGGCATCGTTAGACAATGCCTTTTTAGTGTTGCAACGAATTAAAAGAACAAAGTAGAAACTAGGAAAAAAACATTCAACAAGATGTAATTATTCATTATCAACAAAACAAATAAGCCAATAATCGTTCATCTATTGAAAACTACCACAAAGGAGGGGATTGAACTGTTCCCACACAACATCTTCATCCCTTGTCTTCTCCCCCCCCCCCTTCCTTGTCTCTAACCAATGTATATCAGCTGTAGTTGGTTGGACCTGCTGCTGAATTGATCCATCTTCATTTCGATCGCTTGAATCTTTGATTGAAGATACACAATGCCATTACCCACTCTCTCTATCTCTATCTCTCTCTCTATGTATCTCTCTCTATCTATTGAAGCTTCTCATACAGTCCGAGGAATGCTGGGTATGTTGAAAAAAATGGTTGAAATGATTAGTCAGTCAATTTATCTATTTTTGCCCTTTTACATGGTCGACCTTTTGAAACGAAGTCTGCTGCTTCGTGTTCTATCCTGTTTCTCGACATTCAAAAGCTTAGCACCCATTGAACCTTTGTAAAGCAAGATGTGATTACGTAACTACCTGTAAGTTTGAAATGGCCAAGAAGAAGATATGATCACATTGCTGTGTTGCATGTTGTCTTTACAAAACAGATAGTTTGAGATGATTGTAAGTTTTCTAATAATATTTGCATTTTATTGTTGTCAACCTGTCACTATGCGAACTTGAAAGGCATGGTTAGACAGTTTTAATACTCTAATCTATCGTATGCTTTCCTCTCTCACATTATAAAAGTTTGAAACAATAGGAAAAAAACAGTTTAATGCTCAATGACATGAAACTTGCTTAAATTCGAATTTCCTCTGTCCAGTCACGTCAGCAATGTCGCCAACGACGACGACGAAGGCAATGATGATGACGAAGAAGAAGAAGAAGACATCAATGCCCTAACGGGAGTGAAGTAGAAATGGAAAAACATATTGAACAACAGCCTCGTTCATTATGTTGTTACTATTTAAATGTCTTTTGTTGTCCTATTATTATTTTCCTATAAAACAACATTTTCAACAATGAGAAACAAACATATCAAACTTTTTTTTTTAATTTTCCACGAAAATAGTGACCAATGAATGGGTGTTATGACTTCTACTTCTTACTTTCACTTTACTTTAGAGAGGGACCAACGATGCTGCCCATGACAGACAATTCGCAATGCGGCAATTTATACAACAGACATCCAAATCTAGTTTAAGACGTTCTTAAGCTTTGTACAACAACATCTTATTTCTTAACTTCTTGCGACTATAAAACAAGTAGTCCTCTAGTTGTTAATCATCAATCTGACCATATAAAGCGTTTATTAGACTTCTCATATATGCTTGTTGATTAGAGTTCAAGGCTTACTGTAAATCACATAAGATCAAAAGGAACTTTCTATTCCAACCGTTCATAACAAGCTCATCTTATTGATTAACAAGGTCAAACATGACAGACAGACCAATCGTTCCCGAACTACATGAATATGATTAGCAGCATAAAAAAAACAAAAAAACTTTTTTATTTTTGTTGTTTAAACCAACTTCAACTTCTATTCAATAACCTCTCTCGGAGGCTTCATCGACAAGCATAATGTTCTTTGTTAAGTTAGAGGAATTTGTTGATTTTATTTGAAGAAATAACCATCGGCTACAAAGAAACAGGTGTCAAGCATCGTGAAAACAAGCTGAACGACAATGACATGACTTGCATGCCGAAGAAGCTGTCAACTATCGAGAATAGGAAGTAACAAGGCTGCCGCTGGCCGGCCTGAAAGGTCACGTAGGCTTTTCCTATTTGTTGTAATTGTTTCTTTCACAGTTTCTGCTTCTTTACAACAACTTTTCAGCTTTTCATCGTTGTAGAGACATCATTAGCTTTCATCGAAGAACGTTTCACTTTTCCCAGTTTTTCATTTTGTTACTTCTTTCTTTTATCTCAAAAAACAAAGCATTGTATGCTTAGGTAGATGCTTCGCTCCAATTTCCGAAATCAAAATTCTATTCTCATTCAATTCCGAACGTATATAGCCTTTCAGACTTTTTCATCAAGTTCTTCCATTTTCCACCCGAGACTCAACAGATTTTGATGAAGTTCAAAAGAAAAGTGCATGGCACACTCATGAAGACCAAACCTCCGGTCGGTTATTACTTCTAAACCGTTTCAATTACTCATTCATCACATTCACGACAAACCAATGAACAAGACAAAACAAAAGAAACTATGTTTCTAGAAAAAAAAAACACACATGAAGCAGTGATTCATCTAGATAGTACAATCACTGAATCAATCCTATCAACTACAAGTGCTTTCACTACAATAGTTTGTATATGTATTGCGTCAAACGAAGTGTTCTCATTGAGGCACTGTTGAGCAAGTCCAAAATCGCCGGTAACTCACACAGTCTCCATTGTTTCATGTTTGTTTCATGTCCGTTTGAACAACTATCAACGCAGAACTTAATTCAATTTTTTGCAAACGGTTATTTCCATCTCAAGAAATAAAAAAAACAGAGAGGATAATAACACATTTATATATTTGTTCCAACATAGATAAAAAAAATTATTTGTCAAAGCAGGTATTTTCCAGCTCTGCTCTTTTTTCTTCGGTCAATTCCAAAGCTCGCAGAACATATCTCTACATTGCTTTTTTGGTTCTTTTTCATCATGAACTTTCTGCAATGAACGGAATTGAAGTACGAAAAGAACTTATTACATAACTACTTTTAGAAAATAAGACTTAAAACTAACTTGATAGAGCAGCACTTTCTTGGGATACTTTCGCAGGGCCTGCTTTAGCGTTTTCTACATATTTCATTGCCTCAAACTGCTGGACAATTAATTCACAAATCTTCTCTTGCCAGTGTGAGACCGTATGTCCAAATGCAGATTTCTATCTCGAATGAATTCTTAATATTAATATGAATTTAGCTGGTGAAAAAAGTTAAAAAGTACCGAGCAACGCTAGTGACGCACTAGCCCAAATCATCTCACAAGCTAAACAGTTGTCATTTAGCTTCAGAAACAGCCTCGCCAACCCCATACAGTTTCACACGTGTGCGTGACTGTGAAATTAAACGGCTTCTGTAACAGTTAGCAATGCATTTTTGAATTACTAAAAACAAGTACCTTACAAAATTGATCAAAAAGACGATCTAACAACTCCGCTGCCTCACTTTCTTTATTTTCATCATAAAGTTTCTGCAATGAAAATTTACGAACGTACTTATGACACAAGTATTCTTAGAAAAAAAACTTAAGACTAACTGTGTATAATTGCTCTTTCTTCGGAAAGTTCGGCAATACATTTTTCAGCATCTTTTCTAAATTTTCAATTTCTTTCTCTCCATAAATCCGTTGGAAGTATTTCTTGATCAATGTTTCAATCATTGACTTCTCTAGTAAGTTTTCGATTCTTGTGTTATTTCTCCAGCTCATCACTAACTGAAACACCTCTTAAGCTTAAATAAAAGGAATTATAAATTGAGAAAGTTAAAAAAAACAGAAAGGATAAGAATACATTTATTTGAATAAAGAAATTACAATATGTACAAGTAACTATCTGTCGAAAAACATAATCAGTACACAGAGTGAGTGATTTTCGAGGATCTAGTCAGATTTATAGTTTATCAGTTGTTCCTTAATCTCATCAGTAATTTCAATAGTATTCAGCTGTTGTATGAGCGATTCGAACATTAAAAACATTAAATACATTTTATTGGGCATTTTATGCTAATATGATGTAAGCATTACAAACGATTTTCCAGCTCTCTTTTTTTCTTGTCAGTTATTTCAAGTTCTTGCAGACTCTTCCAAAAAATGGTAGCTTCGTTCAGTGCGTCCATTACATCTCCACGAGAATGTTTGTTAGTGTAGAAGCTGCAATGACCTTATGATCAAAAAGAACGTCATAGCATATAACCAGTAGCACCTTTCAAAAATAGCAAACTTTCCCTTAAGATCATGGGACAATTTCCTGTCAAATTGTCGTTTACTTTCATGGGAGCACAGAGAAACTCTGAGGCCATGTTTTTTGATAAATTCTTAAAATTGATGTGATTAATTGGAAAAGTTTTCAAAATTACCTTGCAAAGCTAATGAAGCACTCATCCAAATAAGTTCACAGGCTAATCTCAAGAGCCCAAGCTTTAAAAAGAAAGCCGCCAGGGTGAGTAACGTATATGCAGTGTGTTGCACTTTTCCTTCCATTGGTTTCTGTAATAACGAGCAGGAATATATTGTTCATGATAAAATACTTAAAAATCTATTTGTATATCAGTAGCAGAGTTTTAAATAATTGAAAAACACTTACTTTACACAATTCATCTAAACAGCCATCTAGTAAAGGTGCGATCACATTTTCATTGGTTTCTGTTCCGACGATTGTCGAAAGACATAAATGAAACACCTCAAAACCACGACAACTAGTGCGCACGTGTTACGTGACTTCACGTGACAACTCATATTATCGTTCAACCTGAGTATCGTACCGACTACATCTGCTTTCCTCGAACTATAAAAACGTTAGGTAGAAAATAAAAAATAATAAAAATAAAAGTAAAATAAAAGGTATAAATTTAAAAAAAAACAAACTTAAAAGAAATGAAAGAGTTTCGAATATATGAAAATGAATTTATTTTATAAATATAAGATAAAAGTTTTTTAAAACGTACCTGACATGTGAATTACATAATGAAAAGTTGTAAATTATAAGAATTGAGCAACTTTATGCTGCAACCGCTTAAATGGGCATGGTGACCTAAGACTCACCACACAGTAAGCGTCTAGTTGAATAACATGTCTGACACCTTGTAACCATTTAAATGCTCAACAGACTGCCTAAAACAATATAACTTTGTAACCATTTATCTGTCCATTATCAACTTTGATTTATCATCTTCAAACTTCTGCTGGCCCTGGATTGGTAACAAACAATCAGCAATACAAAGTTCTGGAGGTCCCTGGTTGCATCAACAAGTGTGAAAAGATGAGTCCAACCAGACGACACCTTACAGCCGAACAGCTGCAATTTACCGCATAATAGGGTTATTGTCATCCGTGATTTACAATCTACAAGTTTCTGCTACAATGATTTACAATCTACTAGTTTCTGCTACGATGATTTACAAGCTCCTACTTTCTGCTACGATGATTTACAGGCTACAAGCTTCTGGTGTCGACAGATACAGTTGTAAAAGAGTAGTGTGACAGAGCAAGACTTGAAGTTCAATCAGATCCAACACGATGACCATCGACTCTGGTCGTGTCCAGTTAGTTCCAGTTTATCATTTTCAAACATATATTTTTTCAGAACTGCCAGATTTACCCATATTACAAACATTCCAAGAATGACATATCCTGATGAGAAGTATGTTTCAATCTGTAATCTAGTAAACATTTTATTTTTCAGCTTTAACCAAAAATCTTTGCTATATGAGTTGGAGAAACAACGCAAGAATGGATAAGGTTCTGGAGAAAGCAACGTTAGAAACTTTGCTCAAAGTTTTCTTCCAACGCATCTACGGAAATAATGAGATTGAAAGGATGGAAAGTTCTCTGAGAAAAGTTCTCAGAAACTTTCCCAAAAAAGAAATCTTGTACCAAGTTTGTTCTTTTCACAGAAATTTTCAAAATACTTCATTCAGAAGCTGTATGATGAGAATAAGGAAAAAGAGGCGCTTCCCTTATTAAACGACTGCCTCAACCAGCTCTGTAAGGTTTGAATTGATTAAAATCAACCCTTATTTTATTTATTGATTAATATTCAAGGTCGAGCTAACAAAAATAACGGACCATACTCCAAAAACGCTACTACAGCTGGCTGAGTTTTTTTTGAAAATTGGAGACTCACGAACAGCTTGCGAATTGATTTGGGGAAGCTCTTCGTTAGTAATAGCAGGTAAGATTATTTGGACTAATTCATTTAACTTTTTACAGATTTCAATGAGAGACATAATTTGGAGATCTCACTCCATGCTCATGAGGTCAAACGCCGTTTCTTCCTGAAACTGCCTCGGGAAGTGAGACTGATGTTCAATATGTTTGAATCGTAAGTTGAAACTACACCTTTTCCATTGATCTATCTATTGATTTCAGATGCCATTCATTGTTTTTCAAAAATACAAAGAATCGCCATGAGTTTTTAGCTTTCAAAAAATTCTCTCTTTTCATGATTTCTTTAATTTTAAACTCCAAAACTGTTCTGTGTATCTCCATGTTTCTTTCCGTAGTAATCAAGTTATCATAGCTTTTTGATCTTCTCAATTTATTCATATTAAATTCAGTTAAAACATTGATAAAAAAAATCATTTTCACGCATATTCACATAAATCAAACATCTCAACACGGCGACAACTAGTGCACACATGTTCCGTGACTTCATGTGACTGATGTGGCGCGCGCAACTTTTTTAGATTTGTTTTTTACTTTTGACGAAGACTCGGTTGTACCGGAGCACAATATTATCTTTGAACCGTTCATTTTCGACTTTTTGTTTGACTCTTGAGAAGATACAGCTTCAAAAAAAATTAGAAATTCAAACCGTATACTAGCTTAAACTAACTTAACATATTGGCGGTAGCGTCCTGAAAGAAAATTTTCATGTCATTGTCATTTTCATCATCATTCTTTCTTTCATTATACCTTCTCCTATTTTCATTATTAATTTTAATTCTATTTCTAGATTGTCGTTGTTCTATAGCATCAACTTCAGCAGACAGCTTCTGAAATGAGGTCAGTTTTTCGATTTTGATAGTAGTATTACTCGAGGGAATTAGCTCATTTGTTGTTCATACTTTTACTAAATAGTTTTCTAGTGACCTTTCGCAATCTTCCGGAAATCCTAAAACTCTTGGAGTGGAGGAGGGCAAAATGGATGCGAAAATAAAAAAGGAAGACTACGATAGCCTTCATGCTATCAATGGAGGACTTCAAGAGATAAAGCTTGAAGACGAAGAACAACTACATTCACCACTTGGAAATGATCAATCTGTTTTTGTTACATGTCCTTCTGCTGTCTCAGACTTAGTTGTCACACCACCTCCTAGAAAAGACCAAAACGAAACCCTTGTCTTGTACAAATGTGGTAGTGTTAAAATCAAAGAAGGAGTCAGAGAAACAATCCCGGACGAAACCTATTATATAACTAGAACCCGAATCGAAAACATACCGTCATCTGTGCTTAGAATCACTCTACAATATCCTGAGAACAAAGAAATCTACCGATGGTCTTTAGTTCCGAACTCCAAACACCTATTTTCAGCTTTGAAGGCTGAAATTCCAGGATCTACATGTGGAAATTTAATCTTTTTGCCTTCCCACATGAATGAACAGCATTTGATTGACCGTATTACCGAATTACACATTAACAAAGGCATCTGATCATGTTTATTTTTAAATCTGTTGAATCCTTGAAACTTTTCATTTTGTTATTTTACTATGAAATAATAAATTTAATAAAACGGATTTATTTTTTTGCTTCTTCTACGTATAGTACTCGCTATACTCGCTAGTTTGGATGTCGATCATTAAAAACATTAAGTACATTCTATGGGGCATTTTATGCTAATATGATGTAAGCATTACAAACGATTTTCCAGCTCTCTTTTTTTCTTGTCGCTAATTTCAAGATCTAGCAGACTCTTCCAAAAAATGGAAGCTTCTTTGAGCGCAGCAATGTCGTTGGTGTGTGAGTAGCTGCTCGAGTCGAAGTTTCCTGCAATGGTAAACTTTATTTTATTTTTCAACATGAATTTGTTTTCAATTCTTAAGAATTGGGTCTTAAGCACACGTACTTCGCACAGCTGATCAACAGAATCAATGGGAAGAGGCACAGCTTCACTCGAATCCTTCTCAATATCCTCATCGTCCACGCATCTACATGATTCACACATGAGCTCTCTTTCTTTCTTTGCCTTCTCATTTTCTTCGAGTCTATTCTCCAAAACATTTTCCATTTTTTGAACTTCGTCTTGATCGTATACTCGTCGAAAGTATATTCCAAAAAGTTATTCCAGCGTTGCTTTCTCCAATAGTTTCTCGATCCTAACATCGCTGCTCCAGCTCATCTTTTCCTCTAAATGAACATATTCTCATTTTTTTTATGAGAACAATCTCAATACGTATAAGTAAATAAATAAATAATAAATAAATTTTTATTGGAAAGAACGATGAAGTAGTTTAAAAAGTATTAGAACATTATCATAATGAGTGGAAGATTATAATGATGAGTGGAGAATTGAAACCGAAGATATATACAACAATTAATAATCTGGGTTACGTTCTAGCTCTGCTTTTTTCGTGTCCGTCAACTCGAAAGATCGCAATAACTCAATGAACGAAGGAGCGAGCTTGAGCGCTTCGGCAACATCCGCCCGCTCGAGGTCATTCGTATAAAATGAGTTGTGGCAACTGTAAATGAGTAATGGAATTGACTTTGCAGAAAAACTGTTGAAGTCTCTATTTTTAACTTACATTTCAAAAATTGGGAATTCTGCCACAATATGATCTGACAATTTGCGCAGAAACCGTCTCTTCCCTTGGTGGGAAACTAATTTTACATTGAGCTCGCGTTCTTGGATGAACTCTGGAAACTGGAACCTTATTAACTTCAAACATCTTCAAAAATCACCTGAAATCGCCAGAGAGACAACGCACCAGATCAACTCGCATGAAACCCTGTTATCACCGAGATGATAAAATAGTTTCGCGAGCGATAACACACTTGTTGAAGTGTGTTCAACAGAGGGATTCGGACCTTTCTGAAATAGAAAGTAAAAATATGTTCCTCATGATGGAATATTTGGAATCTTTTTGTATTTCACTATTGAAATTTGAAAAGATTGAAGAACACATACCTTACAAAACTCGTCTAAACATTCATCTAGCGTTTCTGCACAATCATTCCTGTTGTTCTCATTATGAACTTTCTGCAAAACTCCTTTCAGAAGAACATCTGTAGCTTTTTTCATTAAGGTATCAATTCTTGGATTGTTAATCCAACTCATGTTATGTTTACCCTGAAACAATTTTCGATAATAGTTTGAAAAAATCAACTAGGAGAGAAAGTAATTTTAAAGCTCGAAACTCATTACTACTCAACTGGATTCAACTACTTCTCAAGTGTGAATGAAACAAATGATGAATTAAAAAAATTTATTTACTGCAGAAGATTTATACTTTGCAACATGAGACTCGTATTTTGTCCCAATTATAAACACATTATAACGCGCACAGCGTTCAGGGTGGTCCTAGGTTCCGCCCACTTTTCTGATCAGCAATTGCTAGACCATGTTGACTCAAACAAATACAAAAAAACATTCTTCTTCATATTGTTGCGCGCAGAAAAAATTGGAAATTTGCATGTTCGGTTTGGTCAGGTTTGTCCGGCTACAACAACATCTTCTCACACAACTGTTTTTCAGATCAAAGTCAATAGCAGTTTCAAAAAAAAATTTATTCGTCAAAGCATATATTCTCCAGCTGTGTTTTTTCTTCTTCGGTCAATTCCAAAGCTCGCAGATCTTCGATGAATTCGTGAGCGTCCTTAAGCCCAAGCGCCACTTCATAACCATCGCGGTCATTTGTGTAGAAAGACCCGTGGCAACTGAAAATCTTAATGTAGATAACGCCAGCAAATCATAAACAATTAGAAGATGGAATGAACTAATAGAATTTCTGTTCTTCACTCACCTTTCGAAAACTGCAAATTTCCTTCGTAATTCCTTAGACAATACTATCAGAAATGTTCTAATGCGCGTGTCAGAAGAAACGGCTACCTTCAGGCCACGATTCTGGATAAACTCTAAAAGTTAATGTCTTTTCAGTTTGAACACATTTCAAAATTACCTAGAACTGCTAAAAACCCACTGCACCAAATTAATTCACACGATAATCGGTGAAAATCAATTTTAGACAAAAATTTTGCCAGGCTCAATACGGTTGTTGACGTGAGTTCTACTGTTTCCTCGGATAGTTCACAAAATTCATCAAAACTGTTATCCAGCGCGTGTGTGGCTTCATTCGATTCATTTTCATCATGAAGCTTCTGCAATGAAAAAGTTTGAGGTACGTAAAGTACTTATCACACAAGTATTTTTTAGAAAACAAGACTTCAAACTAACTTGGTACAGCAGCTCCTTCTCCGGGAAATTACGCAGTATGTGCTTTAACATTTTCTCCATATATTCCATTTCTTCCTCTTCATAAATACAATGAAAACTTTTTTTTATCAGAGTCTCTATCGTAGCTTTTTCCAGCAATTTTTCAATTCTAGGGTTGTTTCTCCAACTCATGATTCACTGAAAAGAAAGTTAAAAAAAAGCTTCAACTTATTTATTATATAAGGAAAGAGAGTTATCCTAGCTTATATATATACGTGCAGCAATTCGAACTAGCATATAACTAGACTAACTAGAATCATGAGTAAAAAAACTATTGAAAGCGAGAGATTTATACTTCACGACATGAGACTCGTATTTTGTTCCAATAATTATATTATATTTGAATATCTTACATAATTATATTATATTTTGAATATATATTATATATTATGAATCGCGCACAGCGTTCAGGGTGGTGTCGTAAGCTCCGCCCACTTTTCAGTGCAGCAATCGTGAACTTAAACTTGCTCAGTCCATACAAAAATAGCAGAATTAAGTTCTGATAGTGTTCAAACGGATTACACATATAAAAATAAAAACAATCAGACGTGGATACTATGGAATACTGGGAATTTTGAGCATGAGCGGTTTATCATATCGTTTTTCTAGTTTTGCTAGTTCCTTTTCTCATTATCGAGAAAATTCTTTTGAAAATTTGGAAAAGCCTTTATATCACAGATACACAATCAGAAACAAGAGTTGTTGAAGTCGCCTTAGACCCGCTCACATCGAATACTACATTCAAGCTGAAATCAAACGATGATTACAATTGAGGAATGACCTATGATGATCCTAACCCAAATCCGTTTTGGCTTTCCGGAACAGCTCATTCATTTCCTGAAAATTGAAAGTTAGCAACGGTACTGCTACTTCTGTAGTACCTCCAATAAAAGTTCTGTTCTATCTGGAACAAACCGTATTTCCGGACAGTTAGATCCAATTGATTCCGCGAGAACTTTTCTCAAAACGAATTTCTCTTCGTCCAATACTTTTTGAATTTCTTCATCGTTCTTTCCATTACAAATCCATGCAATCGTCAACTCTGTGAAACTGCTGTTGACTTTGATCTGAAAAACAGTTGTGTGAGAAGATGTTGTTGTAGCCGGACGAACCTGACCAAACCGAACATGCAAATTTCCAATTTTTTCATTAGCCGAGACGACTTCTTCAAACTTTATAGCAAATATTTCCGATAGTTGTTTCATTTTCTTATTGTCTAGTTTCCTCTGTCTTTGTCCTAAGGAAGCCAATATGAGTTTAGACTCAAAACTGAAACGTTTCATGAATTGAATTTCTCTCCTCACCTTACCCCATATCAAAACCAATCTTCTGTCCTATTTTCTTGTGAAAATTTTTCCCCAACGCAACATCATACCTCCAACTCTGCCTTGGCAACACACAGTTACCTGAATAGACACTGACTATAGAAATACTCATGGCTGTTACCGCAAATTTTCCCTGTTCGTCTACTTTTGAAGCTATGTGTGTGAGCAGACCGTAATGCTGCTGTTAAAGGTTGTATTCTGAACATGCTGTAAGAGAGAAAAGAAATTCAAAATGATTCAACTGATTAAAAGTATTTATGAGGCGTTTCCTCTTTATGGAGAATTATAAAATAGAAAAATGGAAAAGTATATTTAACACTTTTATATTATTACATCGTGGTTTCTACTCGTACTAAACATCATATCCACAAACAAGCTACCTTTGGAAACCGTCAAAGAACTATGTGATATAATTGGAAAGGAAAATAGTTTTGATAAGTAAAATACACAATCTGTAAAGCCAGAATGACAAAATAAATAATGACCAGGAGTATATTCTATTGTTCTGTCGAAGCTAGATCTCTATTCATTCGCTTTAAGTAGTTGGCTCTGTTACATTCGATCATCTCCCATTTACGAATATCAAACAGCTTCTTCCATTCACAGTGATCTGTTGGAACTTTTCCCGAAAGTTTCGCCGTTTCACTGGATTCGTTCAACTTCCCTGATTTTATGCGTTCTATGGTCTCCTGTAAACGTGAGGATGGAAAACCGACAGGGAAAGAGTTACTTACATTGTAATCTTTCGTCTTGTCCAAATCCCATCGGATAACCAACAATGGAATTTTAGGATGTGATTGTTTGATTCTCATAGCTATCTCATCCATTTTACGAGGATCCAAAGGTTTCTTCTGCAAACTCAGGATTCAATGACAACAACCAATCACGAATAATACCTTGGCAGCACTAGCATTGACTGCTGCTCTGAATCTTCTCTTAACGGCTTCCGCAGCATCCAGATTAGTCCAGGAACTTGATTGGATCGACAAATCTTCAGCTATTGATTTAGATAATCTCTTACTGAAATCTTCCACAGATTCCTTAATAAAACATCATGAAAAGAGAGTGTGTATAGACACTTCTTACATCTTCATTTCTACGTAGAACAGGGAGCCATTTGAGATGAATTACAGTCATGGGGAGGAACATGAACCAGAAAACGTCAGACCACCAGGTAGCTCCAAGAATTGAAGAGTTGACTTGGATTGGTCTCCAAACATGAAGAGAAATGGGTTGAATAGAATCAGAAACTTCAGCAGGCCAAGTGCTGAATTGATTTCAAGGGTATTATAAGACACACCGGAAGGCAAACCTGAATTTGAGCAAAGCGCTTTTTCCACTAGTTATGGCACCTTCCGGCAATGATAGAATTGGTAACTCGCTAGTTTGGATGTGTTTTCTGCCCTGTCTCACTAGTTCGTCTCTTCCGCTACGAGCGCCGAAGTCAGCATAGCCGAAACACCTTAAGTCTTAGAATTAATGAGTGAAAAGAACCAAAGACGGACCATCTGAGTATAGAAGGAATATCCCAAACGGACGGAAGGATACAAGATTCGACCAAATCAACAGCTAAATGATCAAGAGCGCTCACGTGATTGGCAGATATCAATTTAACAGAAGGATCCCTACAAGCAGAAACTATGAAGAAAGAAAACCAGGTAATCCATACCTCTCTCCTTCTTGTTTAACGATAATGCCTAACAGAGCACACATTATCCGGAGGACTGCCGTTCGTAGTACGGTAGACTTCCGCAGTAAGCATGCAACGAAAAATGTGTGCAAGCCAAGAAAAATTCGACATAAAAAAACGAAGAAACCTAAATAGGCACTAAGTATGAATGGATAAGAAAGGAAGTTAACGAACCGACAGGAGAATATAAGAAAACGAGAAGTCTAGAAGTAGGAGAAGATATACGATCCATGTCAAAAAGCTCTTTCAGAGGTATCGGAGAGTTATTGTCGGTCATCTAGATGAAGAAAGATATAAAGAGATATGTCACATATCAGACTTGTAAGTATGGTTATGGTCGAGACCGATTGCGAAGAAGTTATGAAGAAAACTTTAAAAACATCCAAATATGTACATAGAATGTTCACTTTAGTGAAAAAAAGTAAAATTTAACGAAAAATAGAGAAGCTTGCACAATGTTATTACCTAAGATTAAAAATGAACAATATTAACAAATGGAACAAATTTCTTAAATTACTTAACGATTGGTGCTTTGCACAAATAGGGAAGTTGGCAGCATTTACAGTATGCTATTAGATTTTATTCTCGATTAATAGGTAGAAGACGCCGGTTCAAAACTTTCACAGATCCTAAACCTTCTTCCCAGGCACGTGCTTTCTGCAATTGGCAACTGATTACGCGAAACGTAGTCTACTACTAACCATACTAATAATTCGAGGGCCATGAGCTGTATCTATTTTTTTATAACCGTCCGGGACGTCTACGTATGTGGAATCTCCAAAAAGTCTTAGTCTGCAATAATTCGTGATTGCCTTTTATGGCCAATCGGTAACTCTTACCTAGCTTCATTAGACTCAAGCTGTCTTTGAGTTTTCCTTCTCATGGATCTCATGAATCGATCATCTAAGAAGGTGCAAGAGAGAGGCAATGGCTGAAAACATAATCCAATGAACAAACGTAAGAAGACTATGAAATCTCACATCACTCAAAACTGTTTCTGTGATCACATCTAACCCAGGCTCATCCTTATCATGAACTGATACTTCATTCAAAACATCAGCGATTGTTGTCCTTTGTTCATTGGAAGCTATAAATACAGAATACGAAAATATAAACAGTCATATGCCCTCACTTATGATCACGCGACGAGCAGCAGGTTTGCTTCTTACAGGGAGACGTAAGAAAAGCTTTTTAATCTCCTAAACAGAACAAGGTTTAAGCAAACAATAGTTACTAGTACCTCTGGAGTATTTTTCGTAGAAGAGCCACTTTCTACCTCTTTCTTCGGGGTAACCTTTTTGGGTGTTTCAGAGGGAGTAGGTAACATTGGAGTGAATAACAAAGTCTGTAAGAAAAAAGTTTTGATGGAATATTTCATGTTGAGACTAACGCGTTTGACGGATTCTTTTCCAATGCTCTCTGACTTGGCAAGTTCTTCGTTTTCGATTTCACGAATAACAGCGGGTGAAGCTAACATCCTCTTTGTTGGTGAAGCACCTTAGATATGAACTACGTATGAGAAGCTATAGAGAATTTAATACCTTGAGATGAAAGGGGTCTTTTTTGAGGAGTTAATGGTGGAGGTTCACAACCATGATAAGCATAGTAAACATTTCTCTCAGACCATGACGCCCATTCGCTAGCTGGTTCAAGAGATGCCGAGCGGAAGTTCTTTTTAGCCACTTCGTGGATTCGTCTAAAGATAAATGAATCAGTACAATTCCTATTCCTATGAACTTCACTTACTTTAAATAAAAATGTGTTACGGGTTCAAGTTGTAAATGCCGACCAAACCCGCTTAAAGTTTTATAATAATAAGTACAATTACGGCAAAACGGACAGGAGAGTCCTTTGCCATTTAACAGCTGTAATTGGAGGAGAGTTGATAAGACTACGAAGTATATTGTACCTTTCGGACTTCCGTAGAAATCTGAGCTTCTTTGGTATGTTCTATTAAATGCATATGAAGTGTATGAACGCTGTGACTACGAAATTTACAAACTGAGCAATCCCAAGGAGTTCTAGATACGTTTCTCATTGTAGCAGCTTAAAACTATTTGAACTAACCTTTTTTTAGATGGAGTTACGTTCACATGTGGAGATATAGCTAAAGGAATTCCAAACGCTTCAATGGCAGCTTTATTAAAATTGAATTTTCTAGAAGAAGTGATAAGTAACTACAGTGTAGGCAAACAAACCTAAAACATTCTTCGGAAAAGTGATCAGTACAGATGATACCAGTACTGGGTACATTGGCAGCGGGTCCCATACGCAACCTTAGCATTTCCTGTAAATAATAAAGCTCAGAAAAAACAGCTAGAAGGAGCAAATTACACAATAACGGAAGCCTAACATGTTTCCCCAGAGACGTCTTCTATCCAAGTCATCGGGGAAATTTAAATACATTTCATTTGTGGGAACTTCTCGATTACAGACAATGCAGTTGGGATCACGCACAGAAGTGAAAGGCTGAGAGGAAATGGAAATAGAAAAGAAAAGAAGAAAGACTATCTTACCAATGCTAAAACAGTGGTGGTATCCATCAGAGTTATATTTAATTTTCCTCTAATTTTTTTGACTATAAATGTGGTCCCGGTATCGCTTGTGGGAGTTGCTCGAGCGATTGAGTCTTTATTTAGATCTGGGGGGACGCTACTGTACACTACTTCACCTTCTGTTTCTTCAAATTTCAAATATAAATTAAAAATTCTCAACGCTGTTAATACCTCTATCATCGTCACTGACTCTCTCTCCCGAACTAGTCGAAGCCGGCAGTACAATGCTACTATTTTTTGTTGGAGAGTCATTTACAACATCAACCTGCTGATTTATAAGAACATATATTTTTATTTTTCTATTTTACATACATCATCAGAAGATACTACGGATTTAGTAGGTGACGCCGTTGCTGAAACACTTGTGTCCGGCACAACAGCCTTACTTGACGACTCCTCCATGAACCCTGAAACGCAAACAGCTTTATTCTAATTTCGTGATGAAGCAGAAGCTGGTTTTATAAAACATCGATTAATATATACCAACAATATATAATATAACCTTATATCAAACTACAATCGGTAAATTTGTACCATATAACTATTTTAGTAACTGGAGGTGTTAAAGGTCTAAGTTTGCGGTGCGGGACCAATTGCGAATTGCCGAAATTTTCTCGATCTCATATTAAATATTTGAGGGTAACCGATGTGCTTCCTCCGTTTTAAACTATGTTTTAATTATGTTCTTTCTCTTCTATTGTTGCTCTATGACTATCTAGATATATAAGTTATGTTTCATTCATTTGATTTTTCTTTATTACATTGAGAGATACATTCGAAATCAATAATTTTCTTATGCATTTCAAATTTTCTCCATGTACTTATAATAAATGCAGCCATTTCTGTCTTCACTCAACAGTTATTTCTTCCAGATGGCTTCTATCCAGTGCCTTAATCCTAAGGCTGAACTTGCTCGACATGCTGCAGCTCTTGAGCTCAATATCAGTGGAGCTCGTGGATTACAAGAGGTTATGCGCTCTAACCTTGGGCCTAAGGGAACATTGAAAATGTAAAAAATAAAAAACAACTTCTATTTCAACATTTTGTTTAGGCTTGTATCCGGATCTGGAGATATTAAGCTGACCAAGGACGGAAACATCCTTCTCCACGAAATGGTAACTGACTGCCAATCGTCTTGCACCACCTTCGTTATTTTCAGTCTATCCAACACCCAACTGCCTCTATGATTGCTAAGGCTTCTACTGCTCAAGATGATGTTACTGGTGATGGAACTACTTCCACTGTTCTCTTGATCGGAGAAATGTTGAAGCAAGCTGAAACTTATGTTTTGGAGGTTTTGAAACTGTTTTAGTCAGTCAACTAAACTCCTCTGTTTCTAGGGCGTTCATCCACGTCTCCTCACTGAAGGTTTTGAGTGGGCTAACACTAAGACCCTTCAGTTCTTAGAATCTTTCAAAGAGAAGGTTTGTTGCTACCAAAATGTTTGAAGTAACTTCTTTCTGTAGATCACTGTCGACAGAGCCACCCTCATTGATGTTGCTCGCACTTCTTTGCGCACCAAGCTCCATTACAAACTTGCAGATCATATCACCGAGTATGACAAGATCTTATATCTGTAAATTTTAAATGACTTCAGATGTGTCGTTGATGCTGTTCTTGCTATCCGTACCGGTGATGAAGCCCCAGATCTCCATATGGTTGAGAAGATGGAAATGCAACACGAGAGTGACATGGACACCCAGCTTATCAGGTATTTTGTGACAGCGTATTCCAAGTTTCAACATCGTTTCCTTCAGAGGTCTTGTTCTTGATCATGGTGCTCGTCACCCAGATATGCCAAAACAAGTTAAGGATGCTTACATTTTGACTTGCAACGTCTCTTTGGAGTACGAGAAGACGTGAGTTCTTGGATACAAAAATCATTTGTTGATGTTCAAATTTAGTGAGGTCAACTCTGGACTCTTCTATAAAACCGCTGCTGAACGCGAGAAACTTTTGGGTGCTGAGAGAGAATTCATCACTAGACGTGTTGAGAAGATCATCGCTCTTAAGAAACAAGTTTGCTCTGGGGATAATGCTAACAGAGGATTTGTCGTCATTAACCAAAAGGTTAATCTTGATCTTTTAACTTCCTTATTCTTTTCTCCTGAAGGGTATCGATCCTCCATCTCTTGATCTCCTTGCCAATGAAGGAATCCTTGCTCTTCGCCGTGCTAAGAGAAGAAACATGGAAAGACTCCAATTAGCTGTTGGTGGAGAAGCTGTCAACTCCGTCGATGATCTCACTCCAGAAGTTCTCGGATACGCTGGAACAGTTTATGAACATGTTTTGGTAGTTCAAAATTCTACTGCTGTTTGCTATAATAAAAATTTAAGGGAGAAGAGAAGTACACCTTCGTTGAGGACTGCAAGGACCCCAAGTCCGTAACTCTCCTCATCAAGGGACCCAACAAGCACACAATCACTCAGATTAAGGATGCTCTTCATGATGGTCTCCGTTCAGTTTTCAACGCTATCACTGACAGTATGTAACATGCAGCTTAAAATGAAATTATGCTTTTTCTTTCAGAAGCCCTCGTTCCTGGTGCTGGAGCTTTTGAAATTGGAGCTTACTGTATGCTCATGAAGGAAGTTCAAAACCTTAAGGGACGTGCCCGTCTTGGAGCTATGGTAAAACTAAGAGTTAGACGAATAATAAGATTCAACTTCCCATTTCTAGGCTTACGCTAATGCCCTCCTTGTCATCCCTAAGACCTTAGCTATGAACTCAGGTTATGATGCCCAAGAAACCATCGTTAAACTAACTGAAGCCAGAAACGACACTGGTTTACCAGTAGGACTCGATGTTAACACAGGAGAAAGTTATCAACCAAATGTACGTTTTGTTATATTTT